GCAGGAATAATTGTTCTTAACAATTTTGGTTCCTTTTTATAGTAAACTCGGGAAGATGCAGCTAGATGTCTTAGATCTTGAGGACGGCCCTCTGGTTGTTCTTGCTACTTTCTATGCAAATCTGGAACCATATATTGTAAATGCTGAACTCTGCTATGCAGATGAAAACAACATCCTGAACACATCTCAGATGCTGGTTGTGGGGCAAGAACTGCATTTAGTTTAATTAAAGCCTCCTTCTGTTCAAGTGGGCTTTGTAGATGAATATAGACCACAACTGATGTAAGGTACTAACCAAGCATGCCTGTGTTCATCTTCTGTCATCCCACAGTGATGAAAGATGCTTACGGGGACAGGGTTAGAGCTGAGCTCTGGCTTCCTAGAAGTCTCCTTTCGCTTACTCCTTCACTGTGTTCTCCTTGTAACATGGAGATCAGGAGATTAATTTTTTTACGGGTGTCAGACCAACTATGGTGTACAGAGACCTCGAGAACATAGGCACCAGCTGATGCTAAAAGTGTCAGAAGGGGAGAGTGGATATACAAAATTTGATAACTATGGATGTTGCCAGAAAGTTAATATTATTAGTGTAGCTAAAAATTAGTAAGAATGGAATTTTTTTTTTTTTTGTCCATTCAGTCAAATTTCCTAGTAAAATACCAGGCATTTGATTGCATGGACTATTCACTAGAAGTCAGAGCATTTTAGGTGCGTATCTGGAGCATATGTTTAGTTGAGTCCAGTTCATGTATTCATAGATTGCTCGACAGCATAAAAGTAAATATGAGTGTGGAAGAAAATCTCGCTCCTGCTCTGATCAAAAATGCTAGCACAAACATAGCCTCATCAGCCATCGATGTTTATGTACCTGGCTCCAGAAACATTTTATACGCTGTCATTAGAGCTTCGTGTTATGAATAAAGCTTGTTAGACATATTAATGTTACAGCCCTGCAGTACATGTTAAACCAAATTCTATGGTTTACCAAGGAGCAAAGTATTTCAGTGATCTACTTCTAACCACTTCCTCCCCTTCACCACCACCACCACTACCCACCTCCCTATAGCAGACAGGAAAAACAAGGGCAAAGATGGTAGTTAATTTGCCTGGAGAATGGGAGTTTCTGTGATTTCAAATGCAATCTGTTAATCACAGATTGGTAGGGGTTGGAAGGGACCTCTGGAGATCATCTAGTCCAACCCCCTGCTAAAGCAGGTTCACCTAGAGCAGGCTGCACAGGATTGCATCCAAGTGGGGTTTGAATATCTCCAGAGAATGGGACTCCACATCATCTCTGGGCAGCCTGCTCCAGTGCTCTGCCACCCTCACAGTAGTTTTTCCTTAGTTTTAGGTGGAACTTCCTGTGTTCTAGTTTGTGCCCCTTGCCCCTTCTCCTATCACTGGGCATCACTGAAAAGAGATTGGCCCCATCTTCTTGACACCCACCCTTTAGATGTTTATAAGATCAATCCTTTACTCAGTTTTTTACTCTCAGTTGTTTCTTATTGAAGGATGTACTTGTGGATCCTTGTGGGACCAATGGTCAACACAGATAACCTAGTAGCTGTATGCAAATGTCCGCAGCTTAAAAACAAGCAGAAGAAAATCAAAACAAAACAAAACCACACAAACCACCCTGGCATGGGTCAGTAGTGTCACAGGGCTAATTCTCGTAGGATTACACTCATCTACACTAGCAGGTGACAGAAGCTGAAATGGTATAAAAATGAGTGCATACTTGCCTTGGCAGAGTCCTATGGCCTAGAAGCTTCTGTGAGTACATTCCTAGGTGTAGCATTAGATGAACCACTTCACTTTTGCTGACATTGTGGCATTAGCAAGCACTTATTACACTTTGTCCTGGCAAAACTGCTAGACCTAGTCATATTTCTACAGTCTGCAGTACCTTTACAGTAGGCACCATCCTTCTTACTCTGCTGAAATGGAGGCTGTGAAGAATGATGCAACAGAACGATGGGCCTGCAAGACTTAATACAGGATGTCCTTCTTGCAAACGCTCTCAAACTTTCCCTGAAACAGCAACCATGTATTAAAGACTCCAAGTTCTCTGACATTCTGGAAGTTTGATCACTTTCAGAAGGCCTGTTTCTTTGCTTTCATTACCCTCTGCTCTGCCTGATACAAGGGCTTCAAGAGAACAGCTCCTGCTTATCCTGGCAGTTTGGCTACAACCTTCTCTGAGTCAGAGTTTCTGTGTCAGACATACAGAATGGGGGTCCAAGTGGATCTGATAATGGAGAAGGAGAAATTGAGTTCTCTCCTCCTACATATAAATGATCCTTGACCATACTCCAGGATACAGAAGTGGCAAGGCATGTGATGAATATTGCAGGTAGTTCTGCAGGCTTTCATTGTAGGAGAACTGCTTCATGCCAAGACTTTGAGGATTTAGCTTGTCTGATGCTGATTTTACAGAGCAGGTAAAAGTTTTTCCTTGAGAATGTACTGTTTGAAAAGAACAGGGACGTGCATAAGAGAGTGTGCACTGTTGTCCAAATGTGAGTCTGTGCTGCTTTATGTGTGCTGCTTTGTCTAGATATAAAGCCTTAGTTCTTAGTCACTGGGTATTGACTTTGTTCTAGTGAAATAAATATATTTTAGGATGTGAGGCCCTCCCTGTTTTACATTAGCAGGTCTGTTCATCCTGGGCATGTATAGTTGCACATTATTATCATTCATTAGTATATAAATGGAACCATTCATCTATACCCATTGTGTATTAAGGAAACCAAGCTTCTGTGGAGCCAAATTAGACAGACTGTGTGATTAGATCTGCCTGCTAAAGCATACGACGCTTTTATTAAACCCAGAGTGCAACATGCTGGTCTGGATAGCAGATCCTCAGCTGAAGCATAGTCAACAATACTCCTTTTAAATCAGAGAAGGTGCTGTGATTTACACCATTCTCTCTATTTGGAAGAGGCAAAATATGTTAATTAAAAATCTGTCACAGGCAGCTTGTGATATTTGCGTCTAGCCATAGGGTATGTGCAGTTCAACACTGTTCCTGCATATATTGCCATCAAAAATGTCTCATTATGCTACACTGTTATTATAAGCTTTTGTAAATCAGTGTCTGGTTTATTTTTAGCAGGACTTCATTTAAAAGTAACATTTCTGTTCTAGTCAGTGCAGTGGAATAACTTTTGTGAATTTTGGAAAGTATGAAGATGATTACGAGCAGGTTCTGTTAAGAAGGGTAATATTTTTTATATATATA